GGGGGGGGGGGGTGGCTCCCCCGCCCCCCCCCCCCCCCGAGGGGCCCCGTCTGCCGAGCCCAGCCCAGCCGCCCCCCAGAGACCAGCTGTTTACGAGGCCTCTGGCTTGGAGCTCACACGCCACATGTCTGAACGCCCCCGCCCTTCCCAGGACCGGGGGGCTCCGGAGCTGGGCCCAGCCTCCCACCCGAGTCCGTCTAGCCGGGTGTCCCGTCCCCGGGCAGCACTGGGGTAACCCCCAAGGCACCATATTTCCTCCTCGTGCCTGGCATTGGCTGCCCCGTCTCGGGCCGATCCGCCACTGAGGACTGGCCAGTGGCAGTGAGTTCCCCAGGCCAACCCCCCGCTGGGTGGGGAAGACTTGCTCCGGCTGGCTGCCCTCCGGCCTGGGCATGAAACTTGCTGGACAGTCGCGGGTCCACGGGCTCCAGGCTACGCCCCAACTTTGGACCAGCCTCAGAGGGCAGCCGTCAGGGCCAGAGCCCCAGGGGTCCCGCTCTGCCTGCAGGGCCGTCACTGAGTCACTGAACCCCTGGGCGCCAGCCCCCCACGGCTCCCCTCTGGGCCCGTTGTCCCCCGCCCTGCGCTGAGCTCCTGTCCTCAGCTGCTGCCCGTCCTTCTGGCGAAGCGTCGGCTGTTCGGTCCTGGGGGCTCCCGCAGCCTGGCCAGCCCCTCCACCAAGATGGGGGTGTCAGCCAGTCCTTGATGCCCTGTTCGCCCACCCCACCCGGCTCTGGCTCCTGCTTGGCCCCCAGAGCAGCTGCTGAACCCTTTCCCACCCGTGGGGTAGCCACGCAAAGCACGGAGGGAAACTGAGGCAATCACAGGCATCCTAAAAATTTTACAGAAAATTCCCGCTTCATGTCAGAGGTGTATCCAGGACCCCACAGCCCTGCCAGCCTCAGCTCCTGGGGTATAACCCGCCCCCGCGCCCCACCCCAGAGGTGGGTGCATCTCAGCACCGGGCTGTATAACCAACCCCCTGAGTCTCTCCCAGAGCTCCTATAGGAAGGTCTGGGGACTGGGGACTGAGAGAAGGTGGGGAGGAGAGATGGCTGATGGGGCTGGATGGTGACTGGGCCTTAAACTTCTGGTGTGTGTGGGGGGGTGTTTAACCCCAACAAGGGAGGGGAGATGGCAGGGGAAACATTGGGGCTGTTAGGAACATAGTTAAACACCAGCGCAGAGACTGGGACATGGGGCCTGTCCCCTCCAGGGGGCGCCAGCTCCCATCCGGCTGCAAGGCGGGGACTGGCTGGCTCAGGGGGGCGGGGAATGGGACATGGGGCCTGTCCCCTCTAGGGGGCGCCGGCTCCCATCCGGCCGCAGGGCGGGGACTGGCTGGCTCAGGGGGGTGGGGGATGGGACACGGGGGGCCTGTCTTTCCCCCCTGAGTCTGTCTGTCTCCCTGGTGCGTCTATTTCAGGTAAAAGCAAAGAGGCCGAAATCAAGAGGATCAACAAGGAGCTGGCGAACATCCGCTCCAAGTTCAAGGGTGAGCGGGCACGTGGGGCTCCGCCGGGGGGTGGTACGGTGGGGGGGGGACCTTGGGCTGGTTCCTTCCCCCCAGGCCCCCCCCCCCCCCCGGCCGGCCCCCCCCACCTTTCCCTGGTCCCCCCCCCCCCCCCCGGGGGTGGCTGTGGCCCCCCCCCCCCCCCGCAGCCACTTTACCCTGAACCTATCCCTGCTACCCCCCAGGGATGATACCCCCCACCCTGCCTCTGTCCCTGCCTCCCTCCCCCCCCCCGGCTCTGCTTCTCCCCACCGCAGCCCCCGGCTCCCTCCCTGACACGTCAGTGACCCTTCTCCCTCGGGCGCCCCTCAGGGGACAAGGCCCTGGACGGCTACAGCAAGAAGAAATACGTCTGCAAGCTGCTCTTCATCTTCCTGCTGGGCCATGACATCGACTTCGGGCACATGGAGGCCGTCAACCTGCTGAGCTCCAACAAGTACACGGAGAAGCAGATTGTGAGTACGGGTGTGGGGGGGGAGGTGGGAGACTGGGGGTGCAACTGAGAGGAGCTGCAGTGGGGGATGGCCCTGTAAGCCTGGGGGGTGTCGTGCGAAGGGTGCTGCTGAGGTGGGACTGGAGGGTGGAGGTAGGGGTGGAGCTGGGCTGGGAAGGGCAGGGGTGGAGTTAGGGTGGGGGCGGGGCTAGGGAGGGAGGGGGCGAAGCTGGGGAGGGAAAGGCGAGGGAGAGAAAAGGTGGACTTGAAAGGAGAGCTGGGGATGGAGGGGGGGAGCTGGGTAGGGAAGAGTGGGGCTTGGGGAGGGGGAGGAGCTGGGAGGGATGGGTGGGACTTGGGGAGGGGGCGGAGCTCATGTTCCTACTACAGTAACGGGGGGCTGAGGTCTGATTTCTGCGGGGGCCCCGGCCCCCCCCACCCCGTTGCGCCCTGGCATCACCTGCTCCCCCGCTCCCCCCATCCCCCCCAGGGTTACCTGTTCATCTCGGTGCTGGTGAACTCCAACAGCGAGCTGATCCGCCTCATCAACAACGCCATCAAGAACGACCTGGCGAGCCGCAACCCCACCTTCATGTGCCTGGCGCTGCACTGCATCGCCAACGTGGGCAGCCGCGAGATGGCCGAGGCCTTCGCCTCCGAGGTGCCCCGCGTCCTGGTGGCCGGGTAAGCGGGGGGCCCTCGCCGGGGAGGCGGGGAGGGGGACCCTCCTTCCCACCTGACCCTGCCTCTCCCCACAGCGACACCATGGACAGCGTCAAGCAGAGCGCGGCCCTCTGCCTCCTGCGCCTCTACAAGACCTCGCCCGACCTGGTGCCCATGGGCGAGTGGACGTCCCGCGTGGTGCACCTGCTCAACGACCAGCACATGGTACGTCCTGCCCTGCCCATCACCAGCACATGGTATGTCCCGCCTCAGCTGCTCCCCTAATGACCAGCACATGGTACGTTCCGCTACCCCAACAACCAGCACATGGTATGTCCTGCCCTGACTGCCCCGTCCACCACCAGCACATGGTATGTCCCGCCTCAACTGCTCCCCTAATGACCAGCACATGGTACATTCTGCCCCCCAAATGATCAGCACATGGTTTGTCCTCTCGCAACCATTCCACCGGCAATGACCCATGATATGCCCCGCCCCCCAATGATCGGCATGATACATCCTCCCCCAACCTCCTCTGCTCGACCGTCTGCACATGGTACATCCTGTCCCAACCGCCCTGCCCATCACCAGCACATGGTATCTCCCACCTCACCCTCTAATGACCATCACATGGTACGTTTCGCCCCAACTTCCCACCCAATTATCCCCCAATGACCAGCACATGGTACATCCAATTACCCCACACCCACATAACCCGCACATGGTACGTCCTCCCTCCCCCCCCTCTTAGCGCCCTGCCACAGCCGCCCCCCCATCAGCACTTGGTACGCCCCACCATCCCAGGACCCCCGTGCACCCCCCCCCATGGTCTGACCCCCTCCACCCCCACAGGGCGTGGTCACGGCCGCTGTCAGCCTCATCACCTGCCTCTGCAAGAAGAACCCCGACGACTTCAAGACGTGCGTCTCCCTGGCCGTGTCCAGGCTGAGCCGGGTGAGCGGGGCCGGACGCCTGGGTTCCACCCCGGCACGGGGGAGGGGCCGGACGCCTGGGTGCCACCCCGGCGCTGGGGAGGGGCCGGACACCTGGGTTCCACCCTGGCTCGGGGTGCGGGGGAGGGGCCGGATGCCTGGGTTCCCTCCCCAGCGCGGGCAGGGCAGCATTCGGGGCGGGGAGGGCCCGTGGCTGGGGACTGACCCCTCGCTGCGGCCCCTGCCCAGATCGTGTCGTCGGCCTCCACGGACCTACAGGATTACACCTACTACTTCGTGCCGGCCCCGTGGCTCTCCGTGAAACTCCTGCGCCTGCTGCAGTGCTACCCCCCGCCAGGTAGGGGGCGTGACTCCCCACCCCCACGGAGCCTCGGGAGAAAGCAGGCGGGGCGGGGGCAAGCCAGGACGCCTGGGTTCTCTCCCCAGCTCTGGGAGGGAAGCAGGCTCTAGTGGTTAGAGGGCGTGGGGGATGGGAGCCAGGACGCCTGGGTTCTCTCCCCAGCTCTGGGAGGGAAGCAGGGTCTAGGGGTTAGGCCGGGGGCTGGGAGCCAGGACTCCGGGGTTCTCTCCGGGGTTGGTGTCTGGGCCCTACGCTCCCACCCCCGCGCTCTGTGGCCCCCGCAGAGGACGCGGCGGTGAAGGGGCGGCTGGTCGAGTGCCTGGAGACCATCCTCAACAAGGCGCAGGAGCCCCCCAAGTCCAAGAAGGTCCAACATTCCAACGCGAAGAACGCCATCCTCTTCGAGGCCATCAGCCTCATCATCCACTACGACAGGTCAGCGCCCCCCGGTCCCCCCAGCCCCGGGCTCCCCGCCAGCCCTGCCCCCAGCCCCCCTCCATTCCACCCCGCAGCTGCCCCGCGCCGTTGACACCCCGGTGTCCCCGCAGCGAGCCCAACCTGCTGGTGCGGGCCTGTAACCAGCTGGGCCAGTTCTTGCAGCACCGGGAGACCAACCTGCGGTACTTGGCGCTGGAGAGCATGTGCACCCTGGCCAGCTCCGAGTTCTCCCATGAGGCTGTCAAGACCCACATCGAGACGGTCATCAATGCCCTCAAGGTCAGCGGGGGGGGGCCCTGGGGGTGGAGCTGGGGGAGAAGGTGGGCCCTGGTGGGGGAGGGGGCGGAGTCGGGAGGGACTCAGCAGGCGGGGCCCTGGGCGTGTCCTAGGAAGGGGAGGAGCCAGAGGAGGGGTGTGGGGGGGACACTGGGGGCGCTCGCCGTTGCTGGGGCTCAGCGGGTGGGTCCCTGGGCGTGTCCTAGGAGGGGGAGGAGCCTGGGGATGGAGGGGAGGGGCCGGGAGGGGGAAGGCCCAGGGTGCCTCCGCAGGTGGCGCTGACCCCCCCGCCCTGCAGACGGAGCGGGACGTGAGCGTGCGGCAGCGTGCGGCCGACCTGCTCTACGCCATGTGCGATCGCACCAACGCCAAGCAGATTGTGTCCGAGATGCTCAGCTACCTGGAGACAGCCGACTACTCCATCCGCGAGGAGATCGTGAGTGGGCCTGATGTTGGGGCCTGGGGCTAGTGCTTAGAGCGGAGGGCTGGGAGCCAGGCTCTGGGAGGGGGGGTGGGGTCTAGTAGTTAGAGCAGGGGGGGCTGGGAGCCAGGACTCCTGGGTTCTGTGGGGGCTAGTGGTTAGAGCCGGGGCGCTGGGAGCTGGATGCCTGGGTTTGCTCTGGGAGGGTGGGGGGGGTCTAGCAGTTGGAGCGGGGGTCTGGGACCGGACGCCTGGGTTCTCTCTGGGCGTGGGCGTGAGCCGACCGGCGGGTGCCCCCAGGTGCTGAAGGTGGCGATCCTGGCGGAGAAGTACGCGGTGGATTACAGCTGGTACGTGGACACCATCCTCAACCTGATCCGCATCGCGGGCGACTACGTGAGCGAGGAGGTCTGGTACCGCGTCATCCAGATCGTCATCAACCGCGACGACGTCCAGGGCTACGCCGCCAAGACCGTCTTCGAGGTCAGCCCGGGGGCGGGGCGCAGCTCCCGGCGGGGAGGGGGAGGGCAGGGGTGCTGGGGAAGGGGATGGAGGGAGGGCAGGGGTGCAGGGGGAATGGTTGTGGAGGTGCTGGGGGACGGGGCGCTGGGGCAATGGGGGAGACAGTAGCCACCAGCTGCCGTACCCCATGGCTCAGGCTTACCCCAGCCTGGAACCGGGACCCCCTGCGTCCCCCCCCCCCGCCCCCCCCCCCCCCCCCCCAGCCCCCCTCGCTTTGCCGTTTCTGGCCCTTTCGGAGCAAATGCCCCAGGTCCCCCCAGCTTGGGCCCGCCTGACCCCTCCCCCCTCCCTCCCCAGGCCCTGCAGGCTCCCGCCTGCCACGAGAACATGGTGAAGGTCGGGGGCTACATCCTGGGGGAGTTCGGGAACCTCATCGCCGGAGACCCCCGCTCCAGGTACGGCGGGGGGGGGGCACTGGAGGTCCCTGTGGTGGGGGGAGGCCCTGGGAC